CACTTTACCAGCGAATTACTCTTTGACAGCAATGCCATATACAGAGCGACCGCAAAAGCGGAAGTTCAAGACAATATTCTAAAGATGGCTGCGCGCTTGTTTCTCTGGGCACACAAGGCACTCTATATTGTACAGCAGCAGCATGTCTTACTTGCTGACAGCAGTGTGCCATGTATGTATTGGCAGTAGCAAGTCCAGTACTTATAATAACCAATAACCATTCAGCAATAACCAACAGCAGCAGTAGAAATAAAAGCAGCATCAGCGTAGCAGATCTATTCCGACCTAACACACACCATTGTCATATCCATTATCATGTCAACTCTGAGAGTTGTCATGACAGAAATATTTTTAAAGACAATTCATTACGCTCACTGTTTATTAGTTTTAAAAATGAAAAATAATCATTCTAAAAATGAAAATAAATATAAAAAAGCAAGTAAATCTATAAATAAAGTTATTTGAAAAGGACCAAAAATAAAGGATGAAGACATTAGACAAAAGTTGCCAAGACGGTCAATATAATAAAAGTAAACGTTGAAATTTGTATGATTTAGCAAAAATAAAAATGTTAAAACAAGTACTATTCAAAAGTGTGGGATTGGTAAGATTGTTTTGTTTTTGAAAGGTAACTTAGAGTATGCTCAACAAGGGAAAAAAACCCAGTAAAAACAGTTATATCGTGAATTATTACAATTTGAAAATAATATATATTTTAAAAAGTAATTTTGTGATGTCAAATTGAATCAAACGGATCTCAATCCCCATTGACTACCATGTATTTTTTCCTACTATGGTAGTCAATGGGAATGAGATCTGTTTGATTAAAACATTCCTTTGTGTTCAGCAGAACAAATAAACACATAGAGGTTTGGAACAACATGAGGGTGAGTAAAAACTGACAGAATTTTCATTTTTGGGTGAACTAACCCTTTAAGTAATGAAAACATTATTTTAAATGTTCTTATTTTTAAAAAAAACTTTTTTTTCGTGTTTATGCAAAGGTTAATAAAATATTAAGGGAACGTTCCAATTTAAGATTTGGCAAACATTGTAGGAGCGTATATAGCTTTTTTATGCTGAACATTTTTAAAACGCGGTAAGTAAAAAATGGACAAACGTGCAACAAAAAAAAAACTTGTCATGTATAAATAATGTTTTTGTTAAAGAAAATGTTATTAAAGACTGAGTACAAACATTCAATTAATTTTACTGGAAGAACATTTTTTTCATAACTCTGAGAGAACCTTGCAAAACATTAGCCAAACTTCTGAGAACGTTTCCATGGGATTACTCCAGTCTTCAGTGTCACAGGATCCTTGTAACATTTATATACTTTTCTGGGTATCTCAAAGCGCTTTACATGGAAGGGGGGGAATCTCCTCAACCACCACCAGTGTGCAGCATCCACTTGGGTGATGCGACGGCAGCCATATTGCGCCAGAACGCTCACCACACACCAGCTTACTGGTGGAGAGGAGACAGTGATGAAGCCAATGAGTATGGGGATGATTAGGAGGCCATGATGGACAGAGACAAAGGGGCAAATTTGGCCAGGATGCCGGGGTTACACCCTACTCTTTTTCGAAGGACATCCTGAAGATTTTTTAATGATCACGTACAGTCAAGACCTGAAGGATCTGAAGGACGGTGCTCTTTGACAGTATAATGTCCCAGTCACTATACTGGGGGCGTTAGGACCCTCACAGACCACAGGGTGAACGCCCCCAACTGGCCTCACTAACACCTCTTCCAGCAGCAACCTGGTTTTCTCAGAAGGTCTCCCATCCAGGTACTAACCAGACTCAGCCCTGCTTGGCTTCAGTGGACAACCAGTCTTGGCTACAGGGTGATATGGCTGCTGGTTAATATGCCAATATGCTGATTTGGTGCTAGCACATTTCTTATAATGCTTTAAAAACAGTTGTGCCGCTTAATATTTTTAAGGAAACCATGATATATTTTTATACAAAAAAATGCAGGATTCTTTGATGAATAAAGTCAATTTATTTTGTAACATTATAAATGACTTTACCAATGTTGGGGAAAGTTACTTTTAAAAGTAATGCGTTACAATATTGGCTTACTCCCTCACAAAGTAACTAATTGCATTACTTTTCATGGAAAGTAATTACGATACTTTTGACTAACCTTTTCTCACCCGGGCTGGAAAAATAATTTAGCTTGTTAGTAGGGTTGCATTGGATCATCAGCAAAGACAATGATTCATAAAGTGAGATTAAATACATCAAGTATATTTGTGTATTTTAACATATTTATAGATTGCAGGTTTGCGCAATATTCTGAGATTGTATTTCACTGATTTTATTCATTTTGAGGAACACTGAATCCGTTTTTGTTCAAGTGAGAAGAAATCCATGTTCACATTAGCAGAACTACAATAACCATCATGTTTACACACAACGCCTCTGCACTTACAATGTCTCTCAACGTGAGGACAGGAGAGCTGTCAGTCAATAAACAGGGAAAAAAACTTATATATTTTGTTGAAAACCTAACTTGTTACTTTTACTTGTTACTTGAAAAAAGTAATCTGATTACGTAACTTGTAATACATTACCCACACTGGTGCTTACTGTCACTTTTGATCATATTTTGCTGATTTATTTGTAATCTTCCTGACTCCAAACAGTGTAAATTTAACGGTGTGTGTTATCTGTTCATCACTATGTCTAACAGCCTTCACACTAAAGCAACTTAACAGTAAAAACAAATCCCCTAATATAAAGATTTCTAGACACAGACAGATTAAACACTGAATCTGTCAGTTCAATTATGTGTTAAGAGAAATTTAAGAAAATATATCAATTATAATATTATCAATCCACACTTGATTTGTGGCTATCATTTACAAAGAATAATACAGTTGTACTAAGTTGCTGTGCGGTTGCCGGGCAGCTTCATGAATTAAGCGGTTCATTATGAGGGCTAGGTCTTTGCAGTCATTAAGACGGGCATGAATGTGTCACCTCCACCCCTGTTGAAGTCAGAGTAATTAACAATAATACCTCATATCAAATTCTGCTCCTCAACAAGCCGCAGACCCGCAACTTCACGATGACCTCATTCCTATTCATCATACTTTCCATATAATCCATATTAAAGACTCAAGAGTTGAAAAAAAAAATCTGCATATCTTTTTCATCGAAAAAGTCAGCACAATCAGAATTGCGATAAGAAATGTTCACATATTTGCTTTAAACGGGAGGATTTTCTTGTGCACTGAATTAGATTTTCAACAGGCGCTTATATATGCAAAATGTCCCATTTTGTTTGAAATTTACACTGCTGCTTATGGGAAAAGATGAATTTGATGTCTTTTAAGATGCCAAGAAATTCAGCTGTCAACTGTCAGACTGTAATGCATCCAGAGAGTAATGAAGAGAGAGGAAAGCAAGCGCAAGAAAGAGAGACGGGATCATTTTCATTGACTAGATATGATGTGGGTGTAGTTTTCACATCAGATGCCACTTGTGCATCTTATTTGTTCAGAGGGCAGGTTCAGCTCACTCCTGGTGCGAGTGTGTGCCGCAGCGCGCGTATGAAGACGTATAAAGGAGCCTTTGCCATGCTAAACAGTGACACTCTAAATGGCCTCCCAACTGGCAGCTTTTGTGTTGTGAAGAGGACCAGCTTCTCAACTTCAAAGGTGAAATTTATGTCAAGACGAGCAGGACAAAACAACTTTATCAAACGCCTGCTTTTGAAGTCCTGGGGCCGTCTCCTCCGGCGCTTCATGTGAAGCACAGACACTCACACACACACACATAGAATAACCTTTCGGCAAAGAAAATCTATGGTCATCCTAGTTCGTGGTCAGTGTATCAATGTTATTTTCACGAAATGTAATGTAATGTGTGTCAGGCAATCAAAAAACGGGCCACGGTTACATGAACAGACTGAACACAAAACAAATGTTTGCTTCTTGAAAGTTCATACACTGTAAAAATATATTGTTGGTTTAACTTAAAAAAAAAAAAGTAACCCAGTTGCCTTAAAATTTTAAGTTGATTGAAATGGAAAAATTGAGTCAATACAATGAAGATTAGTTTAATCATCAGGAACTCAAAATATTATGTTATCTGAACTACATAAATTAAGTTGATTTGACAAAAGAAAAAATGTGATTACAAATCATGAAACTATTTTAATTCGACTTAATTTAACTTTTTTTTTCTCTAAAAATCTCTCATTTTAGATTAATGTTTGATACTTTAAATGCAGGAATATTGCGCAAACATTTCTGCACACGATTTACTTTTTTAATATCAGGTTAAGTTTTCTTTACTGTGAAAAAGTTGCAGCCTTAATTTTTAAGGTCATTTCAACTTAAATTATATTAAATCGACCATATAAAAAAGTTGAAAATGGCTTGAATTATTTCGATGAGTTAAAGCAATGTTAAAACATATGTTGTCATAACATATATTTTACAGTGCAATTGTGGGGGGCCAAATTTGGATAAAAAAAAACTGATCTCAGCGAATGAATTGACTCCAAAAGAAGATCAGACATGTGAACACAGGACTAACATCAGGATGGATTATGAGGAAAATGCTTCTCTGCTGGACCGCACCATGTTTTCTGTAGTTTGGCAAATAGACACTTTCGTCTCTGTGCCTTGGAGCAACAATTGTCTTAATGTTCGAAAATGGCGAGGAAGCGAATCCATTACTATTAAGCTCTTTATGCTTGTGGATGTTCAACTGTCTGTCAGGATTCACCATTCAAAATGTGGATTTGGTGAAAGAATTCACAAAGTAGAACACAATATTGTAAAAGCACCAAATAAATATTATACTAAAAAAATATAAAAACTATTTCCTATTCATGTTTTAAACAAAATCAATGTACACATACATTCATTTTAGTATATTTTAAAGAATGTTATATATTAGCTACTACCTTACACATATGCGTAGCTAATATGTCTTTAATTTTACACAAGATATATAAATATAAGAGTAAATACAGCTTGGAGAACTAAATGAGAAAAAGTCACAGAAAAAAAGACATTCCACTGCACAGAAACTGGATTGAAGTATGATTTTACTCTAAAAATACTTCATTTACAAATCTTAAACAATTCTACTGGTTTTATTTTTTTTATCTCATATGCCACCTGAAAACAGCACACTTGCTTTTGTTGACTATAACTGTCTATTTGATTGTTATATTTTCATAAAATATTAAGATGTTGTGTTAGTAAATACCACGAGTGCAATTCAAATGCTGAAATTGATTATATTCTACACATATTTACATGTATAACATTTATGATAATACATAAGAACATTATAACGTAAATGTATTTTCTATTTTACACAAATACAATAATTTAGCAAAATTCACTTTGGGTTTTTTCACGACTCTCTCTTTCTCTCAGACAGAAATCCTCTTCACTGTTTTACCAGTGTCACACAAGCATGCAAGCCGTAGTCGTGTGCAAACACAACATTTTTAAATTCATTTTACAGTCTGTGTATCTTAAATGTTTATAAGGCTTCAATTTGTACATGTTTTAAAAAAATGTACATCAGACACATGTTTTTCCTTATAGCGGTTTATACAGTCCTTTGTACAGCACACAGTTTTTAAAAGAAGTTCAAACATGTACAACAAAGCAGAAAAGCGCAGAGCCGCATATGACAACCTGCATTCTGCATAAACTATAGCCTGAAATACACAGCCATAAAAGCTTATTTAACACTTTTTAAAAGGACAGTGCAGATCTTCTGGAAAATGGCTTGGCATCTCAAATCAGTCCACAGCCGTCCCCAAAAGCATGCTCTACGTACCCACCGGTCCTTTTTTTTGGCTCAGGACTGCAGGAGAGCAGGATGGAGAGACCCGCTTTTTTCCTCAACGAGAGTTGTTGGGTCTCTCTCCATCAGTGATGCGCTTCTCGGGCACAGCTGCGTTACTCCCTGCGTCATGCCAGTCAAGGACGGGACCGTGCCCAGGGTTGGCGTGGGTTTGATGGGCACCGGCACGGCGGGCATGCTCTGGCTTCCCGGGTGGTGATGGTACAGCCCCTTCACCGCCACACTGAACGGTGGGTAGTCTGACGACACCGGCTCGGACAGCATGCCGACGTGCGGCCACACGGAGTTGACCATGCCGCCCACGGGCACGGGATAGCCGAGGTGATGCATGACCGACGCGATGGGCAACCCACTGGCCATCACTCCTTTATAGTCTCTGCCAATGAGGCTCTCGATGGCGAACGGGTGCTTGAAGCCGCCGCTCTGCCCGCCGCCAAGCGTGTAGCTCTGGAAGTGAGAGAGGCGGCCCATGGTGCCCAGGTACTCCGGATGTCCCACGCCCAGCTTGCTTGAATGGTGGTGGGATTGGTGCAAGGGGTGCTGGGAATGGTGAGAGTGGTAGGAGTGCAGCACGGGGCCACTCTTGCAAGCCGAATGCTCCACCCGCAGGAGCTTGAAACGCTTGCGGCGGCGGAGGAAGCTGCCGTTCTCGAACATGTCTCCACAGTCTGGATGCAAGGCCCAGAAACTGCCCTTGCCCGGTTGGTCGGGGCGCCGGGGGATCTTGATGAAGCAGTCGTTGAAGGAAAGGTTGTGCCGGAGCGAGTTCTGCCAGCGCTGAGTGTTCTCGCGGTAATACGGGAAGCGGTCCATGATGAATTTGTAGATGTCGCTGAGGGGGAGCATCTTCTCCGAGGAGCTCTGGATGGCCATGGCAGTCAGAGAGATGTACGAGTACGGGGGCTTCTGGTCACTGTAGGAGTTCTTGCCTGGCCGAGGCATGGCTTTTTAAAAACTGTGCAATAACACTCAGAAGCGAGCCAGCATATCGTCCATTTCAATTAAAATAGAAAGGCATTCAACGTGCTATTGCTTTGATTTACTTCATCTGTTTGTTTTGAATGTTTACATCTGCTTTATAACACGATAGTCACGGAAAGAGTTTAAAAGTCAAAATCCACAGGGTTAAGGCAAAGCCAAAGCTGTGTCAGAGAAAACGGGACCGTTTTGAAAGTTACCTCTCTGAATGATACTCCGCACGCGCGCGCGACACCTGCTTCCTCTCTGAGCGCGAGAAGTTCTCCCGGAGGATGCGCGCACTCGGCTTTGACTCGCAGAAGATCCGCGACGCTTTTGTAAGAATGGCAGAGGTCCAGACCCCCCGCTAGTTGCGTTTTATTATGATGACACTGACTTTAGGACGAATAAGGGGTAAATAGGGGGAGGGTCTGACTTCATAAGCGTTTAGTCCTATTCATCTGTACCAATCAGAGGCAAAGAGCAGCGCGCGCACTAATGAGTCTGATAATGATAACACACACTGCAAGACTAATGATGTGAATGTGAAATATCCATACTGTTTATGGAGAGTTATTAGAATTGTTCTAAACGTCTCGAAGTCTATCAAATCGAACTTTTTTGGAAGTTTACTTAGGCTAATCAAGAATAGCCTTTAATATTTAACGTGTGTTGTTCGCTGTCATTGCAATGTCAAACTGTTTTCAATGTATAATTCAAATATTATATTATAAAATATTGAGCTAATTTCAACGTACAAAAGACAATAAAAAACTGTGTAATGGAAACATATATTATTTATTTTATTTTTTTTAAATCGTTTCTTTTTTCAGTTATGTACACTTTCAGTTTTGTTTTGCATTTAACAGTGTTTGTTTTGTACTGCATTATTTTAATGTATATGAACTTCATGGGAATTTGTGTTTTTGTGAGCAACTGTGCTCTGTCTCATTATAACACAGTTGCTGAAGAGATTGGGATAAACTTACATTATACCACCTGTGTTATTACAGTAGGATTATGAAATATAACGTCACGAAAATTCCATTCATTTATTTTTTTCTGTTATAGACGAGACAAGGATTTACAAGGAGGGTTTCTCATTATTATTTGTTCTAAAGATGTTTTAACATAAAACGAACCAGGCAGTAGAGTCTATGCTCATTTAGAATTTTTTTTTTTTTTTTACATTTTTCTTCATAAACTTTCTCCAGCATAATATCTTATTACGATTGCACAAACTTCAGTTTGTTAAGTTTAATCTATTTAAATTAGGCCATGTAGCCTAATCTTAATTGCAAGTTGAAATAACATTATTATTATGATATTCATAAAATCTATATACATATACCTTCAGAAAGAGATGATTATTTATGTTCATTGACTGTTAGTTTGCACAACATTGTCCGGCAACTTTTAAAGTATCTCAAAAGTTTTCACAGTTCTGTAGCCTATAAGATTGCTACACACAAGTTATCAAATAAAGTTTTTTTTTCTTTTTTTTCTGTGCTCACAAGCAAATTGTATACATGTGTTTGGTAGTTTTGGCCTTTTCTCATCCCTGAAGCTAAACGGTGTTAAAAAAAAAAAAAAATTGTCATAACACAATAAAAATAAAATTTTTCCAGTAGCTGAAATGTGGAGAGAGATAGCAGAGAGAGAAAGGGTAAACAAATTTAAATATAAAATATAAAAAAAATATAAAATATAAAAGATATATTTTTAAAAATATATCCATAATTTTGCTTCCCATTAAGTGCATAAAATGTAACCTTGTCATAGCTTGACAACAGCATAAAACGTTGCTATTATTATATACTATTTAACTCCTTTCTCTTGAGTCATTTCAGGTAAAACATTTATAACCAATCATTCAAAAGCTGAAAGCGCAAGCGTTTGCACGCGCCAAGCGCGCGCCAGTTTTTCACCAAGCTGAGCGGAGTCAGACTCAACCTGTCAAGCTGTTTGCTCTTTGCTCGTATTTCACAAGGATAAACACTTCCCCACAGCCCCCGAGAACAGGTACTCCGGTAAACAGAATAACAAAAGCTCCGGCGCTCTTGTGCGGCCAGGTGTCACGGCACGGTCCCACCAGGCGCCTTCTTACTCGGGTTCCCGGCGGGTCGCGAATACATTACATTAATTAAGCCTTCAGTGATTTACCTTCCTGAGAGAGATGTCCAACAATATAATTAAAGGCGTAGTGGTTATATTAGCGATGAATATTCAAAACCGTGTCAATTAATTAGCCAACAGATCTTTCTCATTTTGTTCCTGAAGAGCTCCGGTGTTTCTCTAGTTTAAAGGGTCACCGGCGAACGAGGCGCATGCATATTTCACACCCGGCGCCATTATCCCCCAGGCTTAATGTCTTTTGAAGTGCAACTTTAGCTCCGGACCGCTGACGAATAACGTGTGTTTATACGCGCCTTTGACACGCGAATCATGCAGAGCGCTCGGCACCGGAAGGCCTCTCTGCGCGCGGCTGCAGTGGGAGCGCGGGCGTGTTCCTCCTCACCGTGTTGTTTAGATCAATATTAAACCTGCTCCCACAAAGCGCGGTGTTAAGTAGACAACACGCTGATATGCATAAGAAATTAATTAGAGCGGGTTTTCGCTGCATTCAACTCCTGGACAAATAACAACTTGTAAAGTGCACCTTCTGGGCATATTGAACATATGCTGGAATTAGCCTTAATTGACTAATTACATAAATTACTCATTAATTTTACAGCACATCAATTATAAAAGATATATCAATTAATTTTGCATAAATTAAGGAGTGAACGTGGCAAAAACGGAGACGGGGAGATGAGCGCGCGAGGAGGGGGTCGGCTCTGGGCCGCGAGGCGAGGGTGGGGGGTCGAGGGGGTGTTTCGTCTGTTTGTTCCAAGATGCTAATAATTATTTTTTCAGCTTTGGGCGAGAGATTCTGACTCTCGTCAATACAATGGGAAATGTCGAAACCCGCAATCACGGTGGTAATAATAATAATGTTAAAGACCCCTTACTAAGTGAGCATAGCGTTGCCGCAAGGACGAAGCATTTAAATCAATTAGAGTGGTCCTATTGGGAAATGAGACTTTGGCACCAGCAAGAAGACTTCATGGCCACCAAATGATTTATTGATGCCGATTAACATATGATCGCTTTAAGTGTGACGAGGAAGTCCTCCCATAAGTTAAGGTGATCTGGTTAATGTCTTCATTTTAAGATGGTGCTGCATTTCAAAGTTGATAGATCCTTGATCAATTGCATCAGGGCATATGCCGGGTTCTCAAAGCAAAAGTTGTGTGTGAAACGCTAAGAGATATATTTCAAGAATCAACCCTAAAGCAAGGTTTTAATATGCTTTATCTGTCCATAAACTCACGATATCTTCAAGATGCCGCACTTGAAGTAGGCTAGATTTAGATAATTGTCCTTCCTTTCCATTGCCTCTGGTCTATATATTTATAACAGACAAACTCATTCATCTTCCTACCTGCAGATCAGGCCGACATACACAATTGAGTAGAAAACCCATTCACATACTTAATATGGAATATACATTTTGGTTTTCTGTATTTGTATTTTTTTCTCTCTTTCACTCGCTTCTCTCTCACTCACACATACACATTAAAACTATCTATCTCTCTCCCCTGGTGAGAGCTTAGTGAATCGTGCAGTTGGCAGAGTCTGTCTCACCCGCCACACACACACACACACACACACACACACACACACAGAGGGTCCCACAGTCAGTGGTCCCATACCTAACACAACCCTACAGTCATTCCTTACCTTTAGCAATCCATTCCTTACCTTCCACAATTCATTAACTATTATTTTGTACCTGCATCAACATAATCCTGCTATTTTCATACCTGCTGTAATTCATTCCCAACAGACCTTCAAAAATCTATGATGTTGTATGTGAAGTGTAGTGAATCAAACCTTGTAAAAAAAGAAAGATTTTTTTAATAATGATAATAATCACATATTTGTTACAAAGGTAATAATAAGGTAACAATAATAATAATAATAATAATGCATTATTTCATATTATATACACTCATGGTGTCATGTTACACTGTAATTATACATTTAAGTACTGATTAATAATAATTAAAAATTTACTTATTGAAAAAATTAATTTGCTTTTCTAATCAAGAAAATTGTGGCAACAGACTACAAGCAATATTATTAATTAAATTGAACAAGAGAATTACAATTGAGTAATAATCAATCAAATTATTCCTTAAAAGTTATCCATTTAAAATGAGTAAAGTTTACACAAAAAAATAAACAAAAACATCTGTATAACAGACAGACATAAAAGATTTATTAAGAGCTCTTTATTTTATATCGCCAATATTGAAGACACCTGATTTTAACAAGCAGAATCACTGTAGGAGAAAACCGTAATTTTAAAACAAACCTAAAACAAACACTGATCACCATAATGGTGACTTAAGTGTAGTTTTTTTTTTTAAAGTTTAACTCATTTTAAATTTGATTAATTATTACTCAATTCTCTAATGTGTTAAATTGAATGAATAATATTGCTTGTAATCTGTTGCCACAATTTTTTGATTAGATAAAGCGCATTCATTTTGTGGTTAAGGTTGGTTGCATGTGATTATGCACAATTTATAGTAATAATTACTAGCAACTACATGTAATGTGTAGCAAGGACACTAAATATCTCAGACAGCAACAAAGTGACGGCCCAGATCCGGCCCACATCTGGTAAACACATGTACAGATGTGGGCCGGATCTGGGCTGACATTATGTTGCTGTCTGGAATAATAATCAAAATTAGTATCAGTATAGTACTCAAGGTTAATGGAGCTTTATAGGTGACATGGTTATTGTTTGAGAAAAAATAGGCTATATTCAGGCTATTTTTGTAGAGGCTATATTTGATATCAATGATATGGATGGAAAGGTTTGCATTAGCAGGTTGTGAGAAACAAACGAGAGCTGATGAGAGTTTTTAATTTCAGTGACTAGGTCAGTAGCTTAGCATACATGTGGAATAACAGACTTGGGTAAACACAAGAAAACAGAGACAACTCGATACAATCTCCCCCCAGCCTCACGACCACGAGCGCCACAACTAAATTAACAATGTGTTTAACAGCGCGAAAGATAGACATCCTTCTTAATGCGTTAAAGAAGTTCATGTGGAAACAGAACTGTGCGATAACGACCATTTGTCGGGGCTGCGAGGGCCTCAGAGTTCAAGAGAGACGGTGAGCGAAAGCCCGCTTCCTATCCGAGGGGTGTCGAGCGCGGCCCCGCTATGCTTGTGGGTGGCGGGCGAGAGACATCGTCTCTCTCCAGCGAAGATGCTCTCGGTCGC